TGTTCAGTGAATTTTTATTATTCCTCTCTCTCTCTCTCTCTCTCTCTCTCTTCTCTCTCTCTCTCTCTCTCTCCTTAAATTTCACCAATTCTGTTTTTTTAGGAGTTGTCTTCAGTAAATTTTTGTACATCATTTTCCATTTAGCCAGTTCTACTTTTCAAGGCATTCTTCTCCTCATTGGATTTTTGTACCTCTTTTACTATTTGGTCTATTCCATTTTTTAAGTTGTTCTTTTCTTCAGTAATTTTTTTGTCCTTCCTTTACCAAGCTGTTGATGCCTTTTTCATGATTTTCTTGCATTACTTTCATTTCTCTTTCTAATTTCTCTTCTAGCTCTCTTGATTTTTATTTTTTATGTATTTTTAAAATTTTTTCCCCCGGCACATAGTAGATATTTGATAAATATTTGTCCCCTTCCTCCCCTATTTTTTAAAATATAAATTTATTTGTTTTTAGTTTTCAATATTTACTTCCACAAGATATTGAGTTCCAAATTTTCACCCCATCTCACCCTCCCCGCACCCCAAGATGGCATGCATTCTGAATATCCCGTCCCCTAGTCTGTCCTCTCTTCTATCTCTCCCCCCTTCTCTTATCTCCTTCCCCTTCTATTTTCCTGTAGGGCAGGATAGACTTCTGTACCCCATTTCCTGTATTTCTTATTTCCCAGTAGCATGTGAAAACTTTTTTTTAAACATATGTTTTTAAAACTTTAGGTTTCAAATTTTCTCCCTTCCTCCCTCCCCACCCACCCTCATTGAAAAGGCAAGCAACTCAATATAGGTTATACATGTGCAGTTATGCAAAACACTTCCATAGTAGACATGTTGTGAAAAACTAACTCTATTTCCCTTAATCCTATCCTGCCCTCCCATTTATTCTATTCTTTCTTTTGACCCTGTCCCTCCTCAGAAGTATTTGCTTCTGATTACATACTTTCCCAATCTCTTCTCCTCTCTATTATCCCCCTTCTGTCTTGTCCCCTTCTCCCCCTATTTTCCTGTAGAGTAAGACAGATTTCCATACCCAATTGAATGTGTATGTTATTCCCTCCTTAAGCCAAATCCTATGAGAATAAGATTCACTCATTCCCTCTCACCTTCCCCATTCCCCTCCACTGTAAGAGCCTTTTCTTTTCTGTTTTTTTTGTGAGATAATTTACCCCATTCTACCTCTCCCTTTCTTCTTCTCCTAGTATAATCCTCTCTCATCCCTTAATTTTATTCTCCAGATATGACCCCTTAATCTTCAACTCACCCTGTGCCTCTCTATCTATCTATCTATCTATCTATCTATCTATCTATCTATCTATCTATCTATCTATACATACATATAATTTTTTCCTCCAACTACCCTAATACTGACAAAGGTCTCATGAGTTATAAATATCATCTTTCCATGCAGGAATGTAAACAGTTCAACCTTAATAAGTCTCTTATGATTTCTCTTTCCTGTTTACCTCTTCATGTTCCACTTGAGTCTTGTATTTGAAAGTCAAATTTTCTATTCAGCTCTGGTCTTTTCATCAAGAATGCTTGAAAGTCCTCTATTTCACTGAATGACCATTTTTTCCCCTGAAGGATTATACTCAGTTTTGCTGGGTAGGTGATTCTTGGTTGTAATCCTATCTCCTTTGCCCTCTGGAATATTATATTCCATGCCCTGGTCCTTTAATGTAGAAGCTGCTAAATCTTGTGTTATCCTGATTGTGTTTCCACAGTACTTGAATTGTTTCTTTCTGGCAGCTTGTAATATTTTCTCCTTGACCTGGGAACTCTGGAATTTGGCTACAATATTCCTAGGAGTTTTCCTTTGGGGATCTCTTTCAGGAGGAGATCAGTGGATTCTTTCAATTTCTATTTTGCCCTCTGGTTCTAAATATCAGGGCAGTTTTCCTTGATAATTTCTTGAAAGATGATGTCTAGGCTCTTTTTTTGATCATGGCTTTCAGATAGTCCAATAATTTTTAAATTCTCTCTCCTGGATCTATTTTCCAGGTCAGTTGTTTTTCCAATGAGATATTTCACATTGTTTCTATTTTTCATTCTTTTGGATTTGTTTTACAGTGTCATTTCTCATAAAGTCACTAGCTTCCAATTGCTCTATTCTAATTTTTAAGGAAGTATTTTCTTCAGTAATCTTTTGGACTTCCTTTTCCATTTGGCCAATTTTTCTTTTTAGGGCATTCTTCTCCTCATTGGCTTTTTGGACCTCTTTTGCCATTTGGGTTAGGCTATTTTTTAAGGTGTTATTTTCTTCAGTATTTTTTTGGGTCTCCTTTAGCAAGCTGTTGACTTGTTTTTCATGATTTTCTTGCATCACTCTCATTTCTCTTCCCAGTTTTTCCTCTACTTCTCTTACTTGCTTCTCAAAATCCCTTTTGAGCTCTTCCAAGGCCTGGGACTGATTCATATTTTTCTTGGAGGCTTTGGATGTAGGAGCTTTGACTTTGTTGTCTTCTTCTGGTTGTATATTTTGATCTTCTTTGTCACCAAAGTAAGATAATATAGTCTGACTCTTTTTGCGCTGCTTGCTCATGATCCCAGCCAGTTACTTGAGATTTAAATTCTTTGTTAAGGTAAGAGTCTGCTTCCAATGTGGAGAATGTACTGTCCCAAGCTTCAGGGGTTTGTACAGCTGTTTTCAGAGATACTTGTAGGGACCTGTAAATTTTCAGTTCTTCCAAGGTGGTATGATAAGGGGCGAGGTGTTTACTCCTTTCCTGGCCTGTGCTCTGGTCTGTTAGTGACCACAAGCACTCCTTTCTGTCCTCGTACTGTGAGGAGGGTTTCCTATACATAGCCACTACAAGGCCTACCAAGCCAGCGTTCCTCCTCGCCCCAGGACTGCTGCTCAGAACTGTGACCCAGATCCAAGCTCAAGGAAAGCAAGAGATTCCCACCTCAGCACTGGCAAAGAGATCCCTGCAATCCCTCTTTGATCAGCCACTGGATTCCCTCAGTCTGTGGGCCTGAAGCTCAGGAGGCAGCTCCCCAACCCAGGGCCGTGCTTCTGGGGAACTGGACCTGAGACCCCATGTTCCTCTCTCAGCACCGCAGAAACAGACTTTTCCTACTGACCTTCTAAGTTGTCTTTGGAATTTGTGGATTGGGGAGCCTGGAAACTGCCACAGCTGCCTGAGATTCAGTCCTCTGAGGCCTGATCCAGGCTTGCTGCGGTGTGCACACCCACGCTGCATTGAGCTTCTCTTGCAGCCTGGCACAATATACCTTTCTGATCAATTATCCTGGTTGTCTTATGCTGGAAATTTGTTTCACTCTGTCTTTTTGTGGGTTCTGGTGCTTTAGAATTTGTTTAGAGCCATTTTTTTAGGTATTTGGAGGAGTTTGGGGGAGAGCTCAAGGAAATCACTGCTTTCACTCTGCCATCTTTGCTCCGCCCCTCTCTTCATTTTTAAAATCTGTTTTAAGCTCTTCAATGGCCTAAGACCAATTCATGTTTTTCCTCAGAGGTCTGGAAATAGAGGTTTTGACTTTGCTGCCTTTTGAGTCTGTTCTTTGTTCTTCCTTGTCACGACAGTAACTTTCTATGATGAGAATTCTTTTTTTTTCTGTTTGATTACTTTTCCCAGGCTATTTCTTGACTTTTAACTCTTTGTTGGGCTCTGCTTTCAAGGTGAAGGGCACATTGTCTCAAGCTTCAGGGATTTTGTACAGCTGTTTTCAGAGATACTTCTAGGGACCTGTAATGTTTCAGTTTTTCCAAGCTGGTATAGTCTAAGGAGACGTGCATGTACTACTTTCCTGGCCTATGCTCTGGTCTGTGAGAGACCACTAACACTCTTTTAGTTTACCCAAGCACGGGGATGAAGGTCCCTGTTCCACTATAGCATAAGCTTTGATATGCTAATGCTCCTCCTTGCCTTGGGACTGCCACATAGGACTGCTCCCTGGATTTGAGTATGGGCAAAGCAACAGAAGCTTGCCCTCCATGCTAGCAAAGAGACCCCAGTAATCTCCTTCTGACCAATTATTTGACCGCCTTACTGTATGTGCACTGAGAGTTCTGGAAGCAGCTGCTACAGCTGCTGATTCATTCACTCTCAACAGTGCTAGCCATTATTAACTATTATTGATTATATTCTAAATAATCCAATATTTTCTTCTGCTTTCCAGAAAGCAAAAAGATGTTTATCTTTTAGATAATAAAATCAGAGAATTAAAGCTAGAGTTATTCTTGACAGGAAGACACAAAGGAAATTAATATTTTAAGGAATCTTTACCAGATTATATGTTCCATCATTGAGCTACTTAAAGCATCAACTCATGCTATAGGTCTATAAATTAGAAATTATAGAGGTAAGTCATTGTTATTCTCATATATGTAACACACTATTGTCCTTCCTTACTGATAATGTGCTATGGTATTGAAGTCCATTCATGGTTCCCTTAAAGACCCTTAAAATTGACCTCTTGTTGAAGGACAAAAAAAGAGGACCTCATTTCTATTTCTAATTGGTGCTCTGCCTTCAGGAAAACATTAAAAGTTTTTCCTTCTTGGTAAGCAAAAATAAGCTTATAGGCAGTCCCACAAAACCACTATGATTTAATTTGATAAACTTCGGCAATGGAGGTATACTGTGCTTGCCTAAGAATGTGCAATTTTTCTTTTGACAATTTGTTCTTTTTTTCTGAGGAACAAACAATATTTTAGCACCTGTGACAGGTTCCCCTAGCCTCACTCCCAGTGAATCTGATGAACAGTCAGCTTGACGCAAGATGGCTTAGTTGTTTAATAAGGATGCTTAGACTTTAAAAAAAAGAGTTGTTTGGCCCTCTATCTCCTAAGCAAAAATCAGATGCATCATTTAACCTTGATGTAGTTAATTAAATGAGGGCAAGGACACATATGCTACATTGGGACTTAACAATTTCGCACTCATAAATAGAGAAAACAGTTTTGTACAAACTGTTTAAAGTGGGAGGTATGTGATTATTTGGAAGGATATATTCTGAATGCATCTAGTGTGTTTCACTTACCCAATACTGTGAGCTCTGCAGAGGCACTGATGTTCTCATTTTTGTAGGTGACAACACAAGTGTATGTCCCAGTATCATCATCTGTCACATTGGAAATAAGTAAGTTGCTGCCACCTAATAAAGAATACTTTCTGGACCTGTAACACGGGAAACAAAGGAACTTAGTGAATCAATCAATACCTTTCAACACCTAGCAAACTAATCCCAGTCTTAAATTGGACTGAGTGAAATAGTGTAAAAATTGAAGCCCCAATCTTAAAATGTTGGAATAAGCCTTGCATCATTCATCTTATTTTAGTCATCTGTGTTATTGAACAAAAAAATGCATTCAGGGTGAATTATTCCCTTTTGATGACTATATGCAACTACCAAAGAAATGAAATGGAACAAGGCATACCTAACTGTGGCCCAAATTGCTTGAACATATCTATAACTGGACAATGTATACTGGGACGTATCTATGTTTTCAAGGTCAAGTCACCATGAAAACAGCTTGTACTCCATTTATCTTTGTTGTGCAAATCAATTTTAGCTTCTCAGTGAAATTGAAGGGATTGTGTATCACCTATTATCATGTCGATACAATAATCAGCAAATATTTCAGAAATGGTATCCAATTTATATCATAAGAGGAAATAATATTTTAAGGTGGCAACCAGTTCTACTATATTCTAAGTAGAATTGAATTCTTATGCAATCCAGAGGCTTCTGCATTCTTGTTTTACGGTTTTAGAAATCGGAACAAAAGCAAATAGTAAACAAAATTCCTAAATCTAAAATACCTGACTTGGATCACTTCCTCTCCTCGAATCCAGGTAAAACTCGGTGGAGGATACCCAGAAACACAACACTCTAGAATGGCATCTTTTCCTTCGATAGCTACCACATTGGAAGGTCTCTGCAGGAAAAACTGTTGTCTGTGTAAACCTGGATCTATGAAAGGAAAGGACAGGGTCATCATTGTGGTGGGAGACACTGGAAAGATAAATGATATATCTGAAGGATTCCATCCTTGAAAGATATATTGATGGAAAGCAATGAGATTAAGTGGGAGGATATTATAAAACACAAACTTTTAAGTAAGAACCTAATGGATTTTTCCATCTTCTACATTTCCAGTTTCTTAAGGCTCACATTTCAATATATTTTGACAGCATGGTATATGACAGAAAATATATATATGCAAGGCCCAATAGTAATGCCATTTTATGTACAAAAACACATTCATGCTGCATATACTGCATAAACATAACACATTAGTTTGCATTAGTACGTATCACAGATAATGATTTAGAAAGAAAGGAGGTCATTGATACAAAAAGACAGAGGACATGTAATTTTTGATGGTAGAGAAAGGAAATGAATGGCCTTAAAGTATGGACCACTGCCCAGGGACGGTATGCCCAAGTGATGTACTATAGGTAAGAATACTTGGAAGTCAGAATGCAGGATAAGATGGTCAAATATAGGAAAGGAAACATTACAGAGGAGAGAAGTGATGTTCAAGGAGGCTAAAGTTAAAAATTTGTTTTACATTATGAGTCTACCATGGAACAGAAAGGCAGCATTTGATAATATAGAATCATAGAATCTTGGAGTTAAAAATGTCCTCAGAGGTCTTTTAGTCTAACCTGTACCTGTACACACACATACACCCATATATACATGTATACACATGTATTTATGTATGTATGCATTAACAATTAATGCATCCAAACTCCATGTAGAAAACTCCAGTGATGGTGAGGTCATTATCTCTTGAGGCAACCAATTTTTTAAATTTTATTTTTCTTACAGAACAGAAATCTGCTTCTTTGCTACTTGCAACCATTGTTAGGTTGACCTTCTGGGGCCATGTTAAACAACCCCCATTCTACCTAGGACCCCTTTAAAAAACTTCAAGACAGTTAACATTTCCTTCTATGTCTTCATCTTTTTTGGGCTATACATGCTCAGTCCCTTCAAATGATCCTCAGATTTTAAGGACTTGAGTTCCTTTGTCATTCATATTCTTTCCCATTGGTCATTCCCAATCTTATTAGTAACCTTCATAAAAATAGCTCTCCAAGACTGAAGACAATACTATAGATGAGATCAAATTCACATAGAGCAAATCAATCTTTTCACCTCTTTTTATTCTGGATACTGTGCCTCTGTTAATGCGATATATGATCGTTAGCTTTTCTACTATCTTACCCTGCTGACTCAGGGTTTTCAGGAAACTAAAACACAGATTCTTTTATAGGAACTATTGCTAGTAAATGTCCAGGAAATGGTTGATAATCTATGGACAGAGACTAATTAAAGACCCATTGCAGATCAGATGATGAAGTTAACAGTGGGATTACTGAGATTATTCTAAAGTCAATCTTGTGAAAGAAATCCGACATTTTCTGTCTTTCCTCATCTGGTTCCAATTGGTGCAAACAATAATAACCTAAGTACAAAATGAAAATGATAGAAGAATTTTTAATATGTGTCTCTCATTATTAAAGTAATATTGCTAAAGGGTTTTTTTTTCGAAAGTTTGCTACAAAAGATCGGAATGTGTTTTGCATTCATCTTGTGGAGGGAATATACATCTCCCCAGAAATAGCAGGCTTAAGAAATGTAGCCTTCAGGGACAGCTAGGTGGTACAGTGGGTAGAGCACTGGCCCTGGAGTCAGGAGGATCTGAATTCAAATCTGGCCTCAGACACTTGAAGCTTACTAGCTGTGTGACTCTGGGCAAGTCGATTAACCCCATTGCCTAGCCCCCCAAAAAAATATTGCCTTCAAGGTTGTATAAATAAAGCCAAACTCAATCTGATTCTATCTCACTTCTGGTCCCATGCAGGTATTTTAATAAGATTAATTAGAGACCTCTTGTCCCTCCAGAGTAGTCTGATGAGATTAACTACAAGGACACATTCTCACCAAAACAAACTTTATCTTAGGTGACACCAAGTTTTCCCCAAAGGTAAGACATTCTCATCCCAAATCATCCAACAGGGACATGCTGCATGTATTATTTGACTGCCCCCAAAAGGAAAGTGGCTAAGCAGCCTCACCTGAGAGGCTCCTTTTGCTTTCTGCCTGACAGCTATGTAATCCCCTATAAGTGTGTATCTCCCTCTATTTTGGAAAGTTACTAGGCACCTGGCAGGTACCTATTAGATGATGCTCATTAAACTCTATCTTTCAGCCTTGACTCTTGATTTATTGACCTCCAGTCACACCCCTTCAGGAGGATTTTAGGATCTCTTGGCTAAGGAATTCCTCAATAATCTTTAAGTTTTCTCTGAAGTAAGTAGGAATAATTTCAAGGCCAATGTTTCTGAAAATCTTAGAATTAGACATAGATTTTAATTAAATTTTATCCTTGCACATGCTTATTTTCTGGACAGGGAACATCAGGCCAGAATCTCCTTACCTTGACCAGCTGTTTTTCAATAGAGTGATTTAAGTTACATTGAAGATTTGATGACTAGTCCTAGGAAGAAGGATAATAGGCAATGCTACTTCTGTCCCCTTGGAAGTAGCTGGAGGTTTGTCACCCAAATATACAAACCACTTTTAACGCCCTCTTTTTGTTGACAGTTGTTTCTGGCACCTAAAAGGGACACTTCACCTCGGGGACAGCCATGACTATGTCGGTTACTGTTTTGTTTTTGTTTTTGCTTTTCCTAGATGGTAATAAATATGGTAAGCCCATGTTGAAATCTACACCTCATACAACAAAATCCTGTCTTTGTAAGAAATTGCTGGCCTTATTTCCCAAATGTGCGAAAGTCTATGGATTCTAAAATCTGAGAGGGGGGAAACAAAATAGGACTGAGAAAGGTATTGAAAAATCATTTCACAAATGGCAGCAGATAACCTGCTGCTTTTCACAGAAATGGAAAAGTGTAAACAAAAACTTCCCTGCAGTCTTATTTGGAATGCCAAGGGCCACTTTTTGCCATTTGCTAAGGTATAATTTATCTTTCTAACTACTTCATTTTTTTGTTTGCTTTAAAAAGAGCTTTTTAAATAAGATTAAATATGAGGTAGAGGAAGGTGAAAGAAAAATGAGGAAATAAAGAAACAATAATGACAAAATCTGTGGACAAATGTTTAAGAGCAAATAAAACGTCTTCCTCTGAAAGTTCCACACATAGTATACATGAAAGATCTCTAGGAGGATACAGATTCTAAAATTCCAAGGGAAATGACTCTCATTGACTTAACTGAGCTTTATGGAAATTTTTTTTTAATGATTATTAATGGCAGAATGAAATCTTTGGTACTGTTGGAATATGGGCATTGTCTCCTATACTGTTCTCAAACTCAGATTAGAGTTAATAAGGTTATAGAATATGAGCTGCTGACCCATAGTCAATGGATTTGTAGCCCATTTGAAAGCAGATAAGATTATAATACAATAGTCTATTCTGTACAAATTTGGTCATCAACATAGTTAGGCTGGTGGCAAAAGTGGGCTTTTCTTAGTGTGTCAGCTTTATATTAAAAAAAATATCAGATGGATTTCTTTAATATGAATCTGATATAATGGGATATCTCAAGGTATACACTCTTTCCAAATTTGATTAAGAGAGACTGATATTCCAAATACTAAAACCCAATTTAGCTTTCCTGTTTAGGAAGAAAACCTAGTCTGATTCCTTGACCTAATCTTAGTGTCATATCTCATGACCCTGTAACTAATCCTCTTCAGAGTGCCTGAATTATATGTGAACAAAGATAGAGAAATCACACATTAATGTGTTACTGATCTGTCAGTATACAGAATACATTAAAGGATAGAACTACCATAGAATAAGTTGTTGCCTTTTTTTCCCCAGTGGAAATTCAAGCCTGGCTAAGTCATATTGACAGACTGTGATAGGGGCAAATGATAATAAATGCTAATTAATTAATAAATTAATAATTATAAATCTAAATTAATGATAATAAATAATAAATTAAAAATGACACAGAAACTGAGACTCACCAAAGCAATTTTTCTACAACAAACACCTAAGGAAACAAGTTTCTTTCCTCCTGATAATATTTTAACATGAGGTTTTAAGTCACTAAATTATGTATGTATGCATGTATGTGTATGTATGTACATATGTATGTATATACACATATATGGGGCGAGGGATAGATGGATATGTGCATATATTGTATTTAAAGTAAAATATATTCAACAGATATGCATACACATATATTATATCCATATATAAACATATTCACACATATATGCATCCATACATACATGTGTGTGTGCCTGCATCTACCAGTGGAGCTGAAGGACAAGGTTTGTTTGCTTATATATTTTTCAGTCACTGAATGATTATTAAGCACCTATTACAGAGTAGGAGACATAATGACACAGATGAAGCAATTTCTGTCCTCAGAGAGCTTACATTCTTTTAAAGCTTGCAGAGTTCAGTATTTTTCAACCAATAATGTTCAGGTACTAAATGATACTCTAGTTAGTCATTAAGCAATAATGCTATTCAAAGCATGAATCAATGGCTCTCTCCTTGGAATAGCCCAGCCTGACTACTGACCTAGCTTGGGAGATACGTGCACACCTGATTCAGGGTACCAGCCCAATCAGGAAGCTCATACACAAGAATAATGCGTCAGGAGAGAGAGAATAGGTGGCACCAACAGGAGAGAGAATAACTGGAGGGTTATGGAGGATAATTCAGAGTCCTTTGCCAGGATTTAATCTTTTGAATACTTTGAATATATATTTTTGAGTCCTTCTGAATGTGTGTATCTTTAAAAGTAATTTTTGCAAAAGGAGCACAAATTTAATCTTCTGTACTGCTCATGATCTTCTAAGAACAGACAATTAAGAGTAATATGGTAGTTTGCATCAAACCTTCCATTTCTTCCATCTTTGTGCATTTACACAATTATATCTCCATGTATGGAATGTTTCCCTCCTCCAGTGC